AAAAAAAAAAATTACAGAATGGCATTATGAAATAGGGCTTTCCCTCCCTTTCATACATGAAGGCTCTTCACTGGTGAAATTAAACAATGTGAAAATTGAGCCAAAATGGACACCAGGTCTGATTTGGTAATCCTTCTACCAGATAATGATGTTGAAAGGAAATATGTACCCTCTCTTTTCTATAAGGATGAGAGATAAAGCAACAAAGTGAATGCCTCAGAGAAAGCATCTTTATGCAGAGTGGGTACCAGAGGGGTCATGTGGTCTGGAGGATACTGGAACAAAAAGTCAGGACACCCTGGCTCCTGGTCCTGGCTAGGACAAACTGCACCTGAAAACCCATCTCTTGACTTTTCTTCTTAGCAATTTCCTCAGAAAAAGGGAGACAGGGAGAAGAAAGACAAGAAGGGAAAGGCAGGCTATTTTATGAAAACCTTTTAATCATGATTTATTTTCCAATATACCTCAATGCCTTATAGAGTAAAGCCATTACTTAAGAACCAAAGAAGCAGTATAACTGACTGTGTGGTGAGACCCACAAGGTAGGGTATCCAAACACCTGGGCTCAAATATATGATCCACCAATACTCACTATCTATGTAATCTTTGGCAATTTAGGTAACCACAACAAACCTGTTTCCTTGCCAGTGAAATGGTAAATATTCCCTATTAAATGTTGGAAGGATCCTGAAATGATCCAAATGAAGCATTTAGCACAGTGCCCAGCACATTCTTTTTGCTAAATAAATCGTACTTGTCATTTATTTCCATAAAGAGCACATAGTGGGTTTCCCTTTGTTTTTCCTCTTCAATTCCTCAAATGCCCCAGAGACAAACAAGAATGAAAAGACCTTTCTTGTAAACCAGAGAGGGCTAAGGCCCAGTTGTTCTCTAGGCCTAACGCTGGGGCTTCTCTTTTCAGTTTCTCCCTCTCCACTTCCTTCTGTTTTCCACCTCTCTTCTCCCCTCTCTCTGTCCCCATCTTTCCCTCTTTATCTCAATCTGTCTCTCACCTACAATACCAAGTCTCCTAAACCCCAGCGCACACCGCTTCCCCAGGCACCAACACAGCCTCCTGCCCACCACACAAACCAGACAAAGCACACAATCCTTTTCTGGCACTTCCACTGGCAGGCTGTGAACATGTCCCCATCCTATAGCCTGCCCTCTGTTCACAATAGGTCATAAAGGGCCACTCTAGGTCACAATGTCACACCCAGGATGACACAAAATGCTAAATCACACACTCATGTAATCTCACATAATCATATGCACTGTTAGTTTCATAGTCACACTGATTGTCCCACTCACCATCACTCACATTCTCCAAACACTGTCAAATACAGTCTCACTTGGTCCCTACAACCTCATACAGCAACATGGTCTCACACACTATCATATTCTCAGACACTGTCACACACAATTGCAAACAAGCATCAGGGTCTCATAATGTCCCACAGTCTCATATGATTCTACATGCACGAACTCTGTTCACATAGTCACCCACAATTAGGTATTCTCACACATTGTCAGTTTCACGCACACACGTCCTATATGATGACATAGTCTCACATACTGTTCACACATTGTCTCCCCCGGTCTATACATAGAAACACAGCCTAACACTGTCACACACAGTTTCAAATGCCAGTTTCACAAGGTGACGTGGTCTCACACAGTATGACACAGTCCCACACACTGTCACAGGTTTCCTCACATTCAGAGGCACGGTCTCACACAGTGACACATATTCTTACACAAGATCTTACGCTGTCACTAATTCTTACGCGGAGTCTCACACTGAGAAACACGGTCTCACACCATCACATACAGTCCCACATACGGTTTCACGCACGACGGCACAGATAATCCCGGCCCCAGCTCTGTCCCGCAGGCCTGGCGGGGCGCGCGCCCGCTACCGGGCTCGTCACCGCCTCCTCCCTGCCCGCCGTGCACCTTCCTCCGCTCGGTCGGCGGGCCTGGCACCGGCCGGACCGGTCTCTGGCCGCCCGCCGCGCTCACAAAGGCGCCGCGGCGCTAGTGCGGCAGCAGGGGCTGCTGGGAAATGGAGTCCAGACAGGTGTAGCGCAGAGGCTCCTGGGACTACTCGCCCGAGCACCAACCCACAGCCGGCCGCGCAACTCGGTTGCGAGTCTTCTCTGCTGCGCCCTCTCGACCTGGCAGGCCTTCAGAACCAGAGCTTGGACCATCTGAACCCTCTGAGGCAGTCCTTTCCACCGCCCGCCTACCCGCTGGTCCCGCCCCAGGCCTTGGAAGGTCGGCTCAGGCCGCGCAGGCGCAACTCGCCGGAGCACCGCGGGTGTGCGGGACAAGGCAAAGGCGCGCACGCGTAGTGGCCGGTCGGTGGTCTGGGCATCCGCCGGGGTTCTGAGCCCGGAGCTAGCAGAGCCAGGGAAAGTGTGTAGTTAAGTGCTGGCTGTCCGGGTTTTCTTTCTTTCCTTTTCTGTTTCTTCTTTCTCCGCCTTAACCTTTCTTGCATTGGCAATTTACTGATCACCTACTGTGTCGGACATTGTTGAAGGCTCTGGGGACATGGTGAAAAAGCTGACAAAAAACCCACCGTCACTGACGTTCTAATGAGGTAGGAATTCAATAGTAAAAAAGGTATACCTGTATACTGGGAAGCAATACATTTTATTTAAAAATATATGAAAGAAAGAAAAGTAAGTCGGGCGTGATGGCGCAGGCCTGTGATGCCAGGACTTTGGGAGGGAGTGTGGGGAGGATCCCTTGAGGCCCAGAAGTTGGAGCCTAGCCTCAGCAACAAGACCCTGCCTCTACAAAAAATAGAAAAATGAGCCAGCCATGGTAGATCACATTTGTAGTTTCAGCTACTCACAAGACTGAGGCAGGAGGAGAGCTTGACCCCGGGAGTTTGGGGTTGCAGTGAGCTATTATGACCCCACTGCCCTCTAGGCCGGGTGACAGCTAGGTGCTGTCTCAACAAAACAAAAGAAAAAAGCAAAGTAAGACTATTAAAACTATTCTTTTACTTCTTCATTATTTCAATTTTGCCCTCTGAAGCAGTGCAAAAAATATACAAACTCACAGCATTCTTTTCTATTCTCTCATTCAACAATCATCACAGAAGACTTTTGTGACCAAACGTGTGGAGGTTTTCCCTACGCACACCAACCAAGCAATAAATTCTGCAGCGGATACCAGCTGGGCCTTCTCTAATTCAGTTTCTACATTATCAGCCTGGATGTTAGAGGTGGAAATGTAAAAAGGTGCCGCAAAGAACCAGGCATTGTCCTTCTCAATTCACATTTCACTGTGGACGTACTGTATAAAATTAGTGACCAGATAAACACTTAAGACTTCCGAACCTTCTGGTAAAATGGCTGCTCAGCGCAAATGGTGAGAAAGTTCCTCACATAGACACTTTCACAGTAACACAAGGCTGTATGACTACTAACCGGTCCTAATCACACACTCAGCGCCGCACACCGTCACAACAATCACCACATGGTCATTCAGAGCCACACGCAGAAACTCCTGCTGCCTTAAACCTCCCCGCGGCGACCCAGAAGCTCAAATGCACGTCCACCGCGCGTCGGTACACTTAAGCACTAGCGACGGGGCCCCGCCCCCCCGAAGAAATAAAGAGAGATGCTCCCTGTGGCCTTCCACCCTAGAGACTACTTTTCCCAGAAAAGACTGCGGCGCGCATCCAATCACGGCGCAGTATGAGCGAGCTGTGTGCGTCCGCACCATCTTCCGGCTTTGCGCGGCGAGTCCTCCGCTACCGAGGTGGAAGGGCGCCCTGGAATGAGGTTGCGGTAGCGTTTGGACCCGAAGAGTTGGTAGGTGAGGAACTCTGGAGCTGTCCAGGCGCTTCGGGGTCCGTGCGGGAGCGGGTGCCGCGGCCAGGCGGGTCTGGAGCCTGAGATGAACTGGGACGTCTTACCGGGCATCGTACTGTGGCTTTCCGGCCCTGGACTACATTTCCCTATGGCCCTTGCGTCGCGCCCACGCCGTCCAGCCTTACAGCCCAGGTGCTTGGACCCTGTAGATGGAGGTGGAAGGCCTGACCCCTGAAATTGCGGATGTTTTGCATTCATTCAGTCGTGCTCATGCCTTTTTTTTTTTTTTCTTTAAATCTAGTACACAGTCTTGTTTCATGAGTTTCTCAAAGAGTTGCTAGATCCCCAAACGGTTTAGAATCACTGGTTTAGAAGCAGAGTCTTATCCTTGAGTATATTTTAGAATTTAGACGATCTTGTTCAGATTCTGTGTCCAACAATGGGGAAATAGTTGAGTGAGTGACAGGCTATCTTGTGTGACTAGAATATCATACAATTAATACAAACAATGCTTGTAAATGTAGTCATAATGAGGAAAAGCTACCTATTACACCATGTCAAGCAACATTCATATTTCACTCACACATTACTTAGAACTAAAATTTGTAAGGTGACAGGCACTCTCCTGCACTCCTTTTAAAAAATGCTAATTTAATGGCCTCAAGAAGTGGTTAAATAATATTGTAAATACTTGACTGTTTCCTGTTTCTGCTGTTTATTTTGTTTTGTTTTGAGCCTTTGTGTCAGTGGGTGAATGGGGTTGACTTCTTTTTCCTGAATGGTCTCATACGGTATATAGAGTATCTATTTGTGACTTTCTTTGTTAATGCTGCCCAACATCACTTTTGGTAGTTGCTTGCTGTTACATTATATGACTGTGCCAAAAATGATTCAGCCACTTTCCTACTTGTTGACTTCCTTACTTAAGTAGTAATTTTTGATTTTTTTCTTTAGCAAATACTAAGCGTGCAGCTTTGTGCTGTATTTCTGTGGAAGGGCACATTTATGTGTTGATAATGGAGTGCTGAGCCTGTCCATTTAATTTGCGTCATTGTCCCCTCCCACTCCACTCCATTTGTTGACAGGCCCTATGAAATCCTGTCCACAAACCCTCAGTTTGGGCTGTGGGACTCTTTGTAAATTTGGAAGTTGGGAAAAGAGCCAAACAGACTTCTGAAGGTGTTGAATTTCATGAATTTAGAGCATTGGTTTTCAACCTGTGGGTCGTGACCCTATTTTAACAATGAAAATACATTACAGCATTAGGAAGGTTGAGAACCACTGAATTAAAGAGGTAAATGGCCTGGTCTTAGGACGGCTTTATTCTAGCTTGGGGCTATGCAAATTATACAGGTCTTCTGTGCTCTCTGGCTTTAGGAGAGCTTTCATTATCCTTGAGGTACCATATTAGTCTCAGAGACTAGACTAGCTCTGAGCATTCCTCTCAGGTTTACTTCAATAAGGCAGTACCTCTGGGTATTTTGGATAAAATGGGTGAGAAAGGACCGCTGGTTTCTTATCTCTGAGCAGTAAAGCTGCTTTCCTGAGGTTGGGTGAAGATCACAGTTTGTCCCAACTCTAGTTTTTATGGTGGGTGGAGGGCACGCAGGTAACCTTGTAACCTTGGCATTCTGGGGGCTGTGAGGCAAGCCTAGCCTCTCATGTGTGCTCTTTCCTCCCCCAGCTCTGCCATCTCACGACTCTGCCCTTCCCCAAGAGAGGAACCAGGAGAAGGACCCATCAGGCCTTGAAATTCTAAAAGTCATGTCCCTTGTGAGTTTTAAAATCATATAAATATTTGCTTTCCTTGTCCTGTAACTTCCCATCTGTCTCCCCATCCGGGAATTTGGTTCTCAGAGGTTGCCATTTTAGAGAATAAAAGGACCAAGCAGCTAGTCCCTCCTCTGACTATCCCCTCCTCCCTGACAATAGCCCACTGATTCATTCTGTGTAGCATTCCGTACTCCTGGTGTCTTTTGCCAACTAGATAGAGAAGAAATCCATTTCACTGTATGAAATGAGACAGCCTTAGTATTCCATGCCATGTATATAAAACACACAGAAAGAAATGAGAGCATCTCTTGTAGGAACTGAGGTTTGAAGAAATGTAAATGAAGACTTAGGAGCAATCACATATGGAACAGTAGGGGAGGTGGTGTGATTGGTTTTAATTTCGGCATGTGGTGTACTGTCATGCTTTGAGAAAGGTTGGGTATGTGACTGAGGCTTAGCTAGAAATCTGTGAGAAATTAGATGCCAGAATTAAGGTCTAGTTTGAGAGTGAACAGAGAATTTGAATCTGGGTCCTTCTACATTAGCTTCGGTAGCTTAAGAGCAAGAGAAGTGCAGAGTTATAGCAAGTGAGATAGTCAGCCAAATGGGTAGATAGTCAGAGCTTGGAAGAGCCTTAGATACCTGATCTACTCTCGGGATCCAAAATAAGCTGATTAGCTTTTGAAATGAAGTTACATAAAAAATATAAAATGTAAATAAATAAAATAAGAGGATGTTTGAGTCATTCTTTCTTTTTGATACAAAATTGTATAATCAATAAAAGTGATCTTTATTCATGATTTTTCTCATGAAGAAAAATGCTTGTGATATGTTCTGATATAATGAAATTACATCTCTAAGAAATTCTTGACTTACACAAAAATCCTATTTCTAAGATAGTTTTTGTAATTTTTTAAAATAAAATAATTGGAGAGGCTGGGCACAGTGGTTCATACCTGTAATCTTAGCACTTTGAAAGGCCAAAGTGGGAGGCTAGGAGTTAAGACCAGCCTGGGCAACATAGTGAGACCTATCTTTACAAAAAAATAGAAAAATTAGCTAGACATGGTGGCAGGTACCTGTAGTCCCAGCTACCCTGGAAGCTAAGGCAGGAGGATGACATGAACCCAGGACTTTGAGGCTGCAGTTAGATATGATGCCACTGCACTCTACCCCAGGTGACCAAGCAACACCCTGCCCCCCATAAATAATAATAATATAATAAAAATAAAAATGAAGGTTGACACTTATAGCTCAGTGGCTAGGGTGCCAGCCACATACACCAGAGTTGGCGGTTTCGAATCCAGCCCAGGACTGCCAAACAACAATGACAACTACAACCAAAAAAAAAATAGCTAGGCCTTGTGGGGGGCACCTGTAGTCCCAGCTACTTGGGAGGCTGAGGCAAGAGAATTGCTTAAGCACAAGAGTTGGCGGTTGCTGTGAGCTGTGACACCACAGCACTCTACTGAGGGTGACAAAGTGAGACTCTGTCTAAAAAAAAAAAAAAGGAAATGAAATATTTGGAGATAGTCCATCTAAAGTTTTTTTGTGGTTGTTGCTTCATAAAGATAGAAATGATAGGTTTCACCTTAATTGCTGCCTTAAATGCTGGCTCGGCACCTGTAGCTTAGCAGTTAGGGTGCTGGCCACATGTACCAGGGCTGGTTCGGATCTGGCCTAAGCCTGCTAAGCAAACAAACGAAAAATAGCCAGGTGTTGTGGTGGGCACCTGTAGTCCTAGCTACAAGGGAGGCTGAGGCAAGACAATAGCTTGAGCCCAGAAGTTTAAGGTTGCTGTGAGATGTGACACCATGGCACTGTATTAAGGGCAACATAGTAAGACTATATCTCAAAAAGAAAAAAAAAAGAATTTATATGCTAAATACAGAATGGGTGACATCCATTATTATACCATTTCTTACAGTAAGGAAGGACTTCATTTAGCTTGATTTTTTCTTTTTCTTTTCTTTTTTTTTTTTTTTTATTCAGCCTCAAGCTATTCCCCTGGGTAGAATGCCGTAGCATCACAGCTCATAGCAACCTCCAACTCCTGGGCTCAAGCGGGTCTCCTGCCTCTGCCTCCCAAGTAGCTGGGACCACAGGTGCCCACCACAACGCCTGGCTATTTTTTGGTTGCAGCTGTCATTGTTGTTTTGGCGGGCCCAGGCTGGATTCAAACCCGCCACCTTAGGTGTATGTGGCTGGTGCCTTAGCCACTTGAGCCACAGGTGCCAAGCTGATTTTAACTTTCATTCTAGATCTGTATACAGGAATTTTGGTTTACAGTAAAAAACAATATTTAAGAATATCTGAACATTTGATTTTACTTATGCCCTTTTCCTCTGTTACTTGCTCACATCCAGCCAGCCTTCTTGTTCAACAAAACAACCCTTTCCTTCAAAGACCTCCAGTTCTTATCCCCCCGTGAACCACTGAAATACGCATATATCATATATGCCTGTTGTTCCAGGGGTCAGAATTGTTCAGAGATGTGGCCATACTCTTCTCCCAAGAAGAATGGCAGTGGCTGGTGCCTGCTCAGAGGGATCTATACAGAGATGTGATGTTGGAGACCTACAGCAACCTGGTCTCACTGGGTAAGATGATCTGGTCTATTAGTTTGGAGGTTATCCTTGAGTCTGTCTGATCCTTCCTGGTCAATTTCTGGGTGCCTTTCAGTTGGTGGACTTGTTGGTCATTTTTTAGGGGTTAAAGGGCAGCTTCATCAGCTGATGCTATGTCTTTTCCTATCATCAGGCAACTCTCACATCTTCTGGCCCTTCCTGCAACTGCCTTTCCTGCTTGATGACCAGGAGATTCTGAATTCTGGGGCCCCCATACCATAACTAGGTAGCATGTTTTTTCTCTTCTTCAGGTCTTCCCATTTCCAAACCTGATGTAATCTCCTTCCTGGAGCAAGGCAAAGAGCCCTGGATAGTGGAGAGGGTGACAACAGGAGACCTGTGCCCAGGTTAGTGAGGCATCGGTGAGAAGGGAGCAGCCACTGCAGGTATCAGGTCAGTTGTTTGGGAAAGAAACAAGCCCTGTGCATTAGAAAATCTTCCCTCTAAGCTGCCAAATTCAGAGGTCATGTCTTAGTCATTATCTTCCTCAGCTTGTCAGTAGCAGTTGACAAAGGTAGCTCTTCCTTCCTTTCTGAGTAAGTATAAATATGGTGGTTCTTAAGGAAAGTATTTTTCTCTTTGGAAAGACGACTGTATCCTTTGACCATTTTTCTAAAGAAATTTATATTGGTTGTTTGAACTTTGGAGAGTTAGTAAAAGGTATTTCTTAAGCTTTGATTATGTGCCACAGTATACGTTGAGGTAAGGCGGGCAGACATTATCCCTGCCTTCATGGAACTTACACTGTAGTGGGAAATTGACACAAAAACACACAGGTGTGCCCATGAGCAAAAAAAAAAAGAATGAAAATGAACAGGTTCAGTAGGGGTGCATGAGAGGGCTGATGGCCTCTCCAAGGATGATTTTCAGCTGAGACAAGGAGTATGAACTGTAGTTGGGGAAATGTCGGTTGTAGCATGTGAAGGACCTGAGCAGGAGGTGCCCTGGTACCACAGAGAATGAACACCTGTGTGGCTGGGCTTGCTGAACAAGGGCAGGAGCACAGATAGATATGACAGGGAAGTTTGGATTCTGCACTATGGGCAGTTAGAAGCCAGTGTAGAAGTAGAGCCAACCCATGATTTATGGAGACCTACTTTGAGAATATATAAATATTGTTCTTTTTTGAGACAGAGCCTCAAGCTATCCCCCCCTGAGAAGTGTGCCGTGGCATCACAGCTCATAGTAACCTCCAACTCCTGGGCTCAAGCGAGCCTCCTGCCTCCGTCTCCCAAGTAGCTGGAACCACAGGCGCCCACCACAACGCCTGGCTATTTTTGGGGGGTTGCAGCCGTCATTGTTGTTTGGCGGGCCCAGGCTGGATTTGGACCCGCCACCTTAGGTGTATGTGGCTGGCGCCTTAGCCATTTGAGCCACAGGCACCGAGCCATAAATATCATTCTTATCCCAGATTTTTTAATTGCTATCTTCAGAATTCATCAACGGTTTCTCTTGGATCAGATAATGACTGATAATTACAAAATAATGATTTTTTAAACTTTATTCTTCCTCATTTAGTAGTTAACATGCTACTGTAAAGAAGAGTTTTTTTCTGTTCACCATTTATTTATACCATATGAATTAATAGATGTTATTCAGTAACAGATTATAAGCTATTATCATTATTTATCACAGTGTTCATATTTTTCCAAATTTGGCCAGTGAGAACCCTTTGAAACTTGCTCCTGGTTTCTTTGCACATAATCCTTATAATTTTTCTCATGAGCACATTTTTAACTTTTTAACTTTTAGCAATTCAAATAAAAGTCAGCAGCTGGTTAATATAAATACAGAACAATTGCACATAATTTACAGCCATGTACATAAATGTAAGAATAACAAACGTCACATGAATCAAAAGATACCAACTTTTATGTTAACTATTTAGCTATGACTGATAGGTCACAATTTAACACTTTACATATGTAGGAGTATACATCCAAAAGTTTTTTAAAACAAAACTAAGAGTAAAAAAAAGAATTTTATGTTTCTAAAAGAAGTACCATAAAATTCAATGTATAGATTAATAAGAAATATAAGAACATGACAGAACAGATTTGAGTACATAGACAGTTAGTATATTGTGTTAAATGCTTTTATATGTTAAAAATCCTTCTCTAGCCAGGTACAATGGCATGCTCTTGTATTTCCTAGCTATGTGGGAAGCTGAGACAGTAATGTCATTTGGGCCCAGGAGTTCAAGGCTGTGGTGCCTATGACCATGATCGTGCCTACGAACAGTCACTGCATTCCAGCCTTGGTAACAATGAGATCCCATTTGAAAATATTAAAAACAAAAAATCCTTCAAATTTAAATTATTCAGAAATATCCATATTATCAGGGATATTGAAGTTATGACTGCTAAGGTAGGAATAAAAGGTAAATTTTTAAATGGTCCGTACATTACCCAAAGCTGGGTTGGAAGAACATATAAACAATTTAATGTTAGGCATGAACAACCTCTGTGATTACCTCCTCCCTCTCATTTGTGTTATTTCCCCTTTCTCTATTCTACTTGTCTACTTTTTAATTACTTAGATTCACGAGTTTATTATTCTGAGTATATTATTTTGAGTCTAAACCTTCCAATTCCAAGTATAATAGTTCCTTTTTCTGGAAAAGGAAAATAATACACATTTGCTTTGTTGTGTTCTTCTTCAGTATTGGAATCTGGATGTGATGCTAAGGTATTATCTCCAAAGCAGCACATATATGAAGTTGAATCACCCCAGTGGGAGATAGTGGAAAGCCTTACAGGTTATAGTCTTGAGTGTTCGAGTTTCCAAGATGACTGGGAATGCAGAAGCCAGTTTATCAAAGAACACAGAAATCTAAACAGACATTTCAGTGAAATGACAATCAGTCCTGAAGAAATTCCCACTTTTGACCAGCAAGAATCCCTTGATTTTTATCAGAAAATTCATACTGGAGAAAAACCCTATGGCTATGATAAATGTAGAAAAGACTTCTGGCAAAAGAAATTCCTTATTAATCATCAAAGAATTCATACTAATGAGAAACCCTATAAATGTAAAGAATGTGGGAAGGCCTTTAAATATGGCTCACGATTAATTCAACACGAGAATATTCATTCTGGCAAGAAACCCTATGAATGTAAGGAATGTGGGAAGGCCTTCAATTCTGGTTCAAATTTCATACAACATCAGAGAGTTCATACTGGTGAGAAACCTTATGAATGTAAGGATTGTGCAAAGGCCTTCAGTCGAAGTTCACAGTTGATTGAACATCAGCGAATTCATACTGGTGAGAAACCCTATCAGTGTAAGGAATGTGGCAAGGCCTTCAATCGTATCTCACATCTTAAAGTACATTATAGAATTCATACTGGTGAAAAACCCTATGCATGCAAGGAATGTGGGAAAACCTTTAGTCATCGGTCTCAGTTGATTCAACATCAGACTGTTCATACTGGCAAGAAACTCTATGAATGTAAGGAGTGTGGGAAAGCCTTTAATCAAGGTTCAACTCTTATTCGACACCAGAGAATTCATACAGGTGAGAAACCCTATGAATGTCAGGTATGCGGAAAGGCCTTTAGAGTAAACTCACAACTTAAGCAACATCAGAGAATCCATACTGGAGAGAAACCCTACCAGTGTAAGGTATGTAGGAGGGCCTTCAAACGGGTCTCACATCTTACTGTACATTACAGAATTCATACGGGTGAAAAGCCATATGAATGTAAGGAATGTGGGAAGGCTTTTAGTCATTGCTCACAACTGATTCAACATCAAGTAATTCATACTGAGGAAAAGCCCTATGAATATAAGGAGTGTAGGAGGACCTTAAGTCATGAATCAACTGTTGAACATCAGAGAATGCATAACAGAGAAACACATGTGAATTTAATAAATGTAGAAAAGCCTTCAATCAGCACTTGTCCCTTATTAATCATCACAGAATTTATGCTGGCAAGCAACCATATGAGTGGCAATAATGGAGAAAGCCCATTAGCTTAGGCTAATCACAACTCTTACCACTTGGAGGAAGACCTGAAGAATGTAATGTAAGTGAGAATGCCTTTATTTAGACCTTATATTTTATTCTAAGTCAGAAAATCCATATCAAAGAAAAATTTTATGGATGAAAATTATTTAGATCATGATTGTCAAAGAAGTGGGAAAGGCTAGAAAAATTTTGTTCTCCAACACATTCCAGGATCACATTTTCTAACCACAGAGTAATAATTTTTAGCAAGCGTCAATGTTTTAGTTTTCTTGGAAATTAAAAAAAAGTCAATTATTTGATGAACAAGGAAATAAATCATGTAATCCATATGAATGGTAATGGAAAGAATGAATTGAGAGGTTTACACATAGAGACATGAGGTGTAGGCTACAGTCAAAGCAATATGAGATGTAGCCAAAGCTTCACCTAAAGTAGTTTTTACAGCTTTTAAACGCATGCATATTTTATGAGAACCTGAAAGATTAAACTGTAATACACTAAATGTGCTACTCAAGACTACCAAACACCCAGGCAATGAAAAAAAGTAATAAAAACAGAAAATGATGATCAATAGTAAATAGAAAATGATGATCATCTTTTGGTAATCTCAGTTTTTATTTCTTCCTGATCTAGGAATAATTTACATTTAGGAAAGTGTTTCTTAATTTCTACAATGTTAAATTATTTTCAGTTAATTTACGTGACTGTCACAGACAAATGGTTGCCAGCGTAGCAGGCATAAGCAAGCCCCCTTCTTTCTGGCAGCAGTTGTGTCTTGTCTTATCTGAGGCCATCAGATGCTAATTCTCAAGCCTCCTGTACAGCTCAGAGTGGCCAATATATCCCAGTGTTGGCCAGGGGAAACTTCTGGGACTACTGGGAAATATTTTACTCTCTCAGAAGAGACAGCTATATTGTGGAGACTCTATCCCCTCTCACTTAACTGCTTTTAAACATTTTCTTATGAGAACTTGATGCCTGGAGTTGCTGCAGCTATCTTGGAACCAAGAGGAGAAAATGGGACCTCAGCAAAGCTGACGTAGAGCCCGACAACACTAAGCTACTGGGTCAATTCTGGAATTGCCTCTTTGATGCCTTGTTATGTTTAAACAAAACAAACAAACAAAAAACCCAACTTGGTGGAATTCCTTTTATTTAGATATTTTATAAATTTGCAGCCAAAAGCATCCTAAATGGCATAACTTCAGAATTTATTTCATTATGATTGTTACTTTTGGCCTAAAAATATCTACTTTTGTCAGTTTGGCTTTGTGGATTTTTATATATGTTCCATGAATGCTGAAAAAATATATATTCTACATTTTTGGATATAAGTTCCTAAAGTAAGTTTATTGAACTGCCGGATTACAATAAAATCCTCCATGTTTCTATATAATATAGCATACTGGATCAGAATTTCCTAAATTGAATTTTTTTTTTTTTTTTTTTTGCCAAGGTCTTGAATTTCCAGAGATTTTTGCTTTCTAATTTACGTTGTTTGACCAATAGTGACATATTACTAACCTCTGTTTATGGATATCTTTTACATAATATCTCATTTTGGCTAGTACAGGGGTTTACAAACCAAATCAAGCCTGCTGCCTGTTTTTTAAGTACAGTCTTACTGGAACACAGCATGGTCACTATCTGTGACTACTTTTCTACCACTATATCAGAATTGAATAGTTGCAATAGAGAACATATGGCCACAAAATCTATATTTACTGCCTCTTTTTTTTTTAGAGACAGTGTTACTTTGTCGCCCTTGGTAGAGTGATATGGTGTGACAGCTCACAGCAACCTCCAGCTCTTGGGCTTAGGCGATTCTCTTGGCCTCAACCTCCCAAGTAGCTGGGACTACAGGCACCCGCCACAGCACCTGGCTATTTTTCTGTTGCAGTTTGGCTGGGGCTGGGTTCAAACCCACTACCCTCAATAGATTGCGGCTGGCGCCCTACTCACTGAACCACAGATGCCACCCTACTGCCTTGTTCTTTTTTTTTTTTT